GACAACTCTTATGTCTGCTTAATGGTGTTAAGTTTTCCAATCACAGGTTGTTTTTAACAAGAACGTGCCCCATAATACAAATCCTCGAAATCCAGGGGTTACGCTTACTTTCGCTCTCTACACCCCTGGAATATGTCATAGCAAAATTGAAGGCACGAAGATAGCTGTTTGATTGGTCTCAGGTACAAAAAAAAATGACCAATCGCTAGGCCGATACCTGTCCTTTGAAGATTTCAAAGGAGAGACGCCCGACTTCAAAGCCTGTCAATTTTTACCGTTACGTGCCCGCGAAATTCTTTTGATGTACATCAAAGTATCGAACTAGTCTTCTTGTCTCATCGAAACTCAAAAAACGGGGCTGACACAGGAAAATAATCAAATATGAACAATATGAACGCCACAAGAACAAATGCAAAATCAGGCGCTGAGGTAGTAAGTGTTTCGTGAATCTACAGTACCCGTCGTGATCCCCACAGTTAAACCAGCAAAACATGATGATTACAACCGGTACAAGACATATTTCACGTAATTGATAATAGTAGGCACGTGAGATTCCATAGTAGAAAATAATGTCGTTCTGACGACAGATACTTTTTTAACGTACATTCAGGACGAGGAGTACAAAACTAAACAACGTAATTAGTTCCAGAAAATAAAAACATGCTTACGAGAAACGACAAAAATGAATTAATGACCCTTTAAAAAGAAGTATAGTGCCAGTTAGTTCAGTTTCACTCATCATATGATTACATTTAATGCACATTCAGCGTTATCAAACCATGCCATGTCAACCAAATATAAAACAATACAATTTTAATCTTGTAATTAACGAGTGGCAAAATTGTTCATGCAACATGTCCAGCTTTCTAAAATAAAGATATATCCTAACGAAAAAATGTCAAACGACATACAAGTCACTAACTCGTGCAAACAATCGATATTTACTTCAAACCACAACTGTATACAGTAAATGTTTATTGTACATTGTGATAATATTGCGATAGTGTTAACTTATTTTGAAAAAAATCAACTGAAGATTTGTATTGTCAATTCACTGTAGTAATGGCGAAATAGGACTTCCCTGTTATGATGTCGTGATTCTTTGTTTTCAGAGGTGTTTATTTCACATCCCCAGATAGGTCGAACACCCCCCGTGTACATGTATACATCCCATTGACCGTACCCCTGACCAAATACTGACTTGTAACAAAACTACTAGAATTTGGGTTCGCTTATCATCAACTGGCTTCTATGTGATTAAATGTATTGTACTTTTCATGTTTAAATAGGTGGTTTAGTTTCAGATTTATCACATACTCTGGAAAACGACTTACACGATGTACCATTGTTCATGCGTTATGTTGATGGCTGATACATGTCATTTAATTTAGGTTTTATTTCCTTATAGCATCTGGATGTGTATGACATAAGTGCTTACTAGTGCAATACAGCGTCACCAGTCCTAAATCATCGTAGCATTTAGTAATATGGTATTTTTCTTTTTAACTTTTGAGACCTAAAGGTACTACGTGTTACTAGGGTGACACCACTGAGACTAGATTTGATAAGATAAAGAGAAACCATTCTGATACTGCTGGTAGTCTGATAAACATTCTGGTATATGCAGAAGTCTCGTGCAGCCCGCACACCACATGCTCTTACCTCTCCATATGTTACGCCATCTGAAGTAAATGGGTGATAGACTGTTATATAGTTTGGGGAATATTTCTAGTGTCCATTTACCGGATGATATTGTCCACAGACAGGATATGATATTATCCAGAGACAGGATATGATATTGTCCCCAGCCATGATATTATATTGTCCACAGACAGGATATGATATTGTCCACAGACAAGATATGATATTGTCCACAAACAGGATATGATAATGTCCACAAACAGGATATGATATTGTCCACAGACAGGATATGATATTGTCCACAGACAAGATATGATATTGTCCACAAACAGGATATGATAATGTCCACAAACAGGATATGATATTGTCCACAGACAGGATATGATATTGTCCACAGACAAGATATGATATTGTCCACAAACAGGATATGATAATGTCCACAAACAGGATATGATATTGTCCACAGACAGGATATGATATTGTCCACAGACAAGATATGATATTGTCCACAAACAGGATATGATAATGTCCACAAACAGGATATGATAATGTCCACAAACAGGATTAATAGAATCTTTCTCCCCCTTGGGGGTGAGATAGGAGAATCTCAACCCAAGGGGGAGGATTCTTAAGTTGCCAAACACGAGGCTGTGCCGAGTGTTTGGCAACTAAAGAATCTTTCCCGAGGGTTGTAATTCCACTATCTCACCCACAAGGGGGTGAATGATTCTATTTTTTTTACCCTGTTCTTTCATTGTGTATCATATGCACAATGTAATGATAACGTTACATGCTAAATTCAGGGTTGACGTGACGTTGATGGATTGTTGACGTGACGTCATTGTATTGTTAAAGTGACGTCATGGCATCGTAATGAATAGGGGAATCCCCCCGTCTCAACCCTAGGGTGAGACAAGGAAATCTCACACGGTAAAAATGCGGATACACCTGTCCAGGGTAAGAGAAATGATTGTCCACAAACAGGATGCGATATTGCTTTATTGTATCTGATCCTCAAATAGTGAGTCGATATGAGATACATACAAAAATATATAAAAAAAATAAACAAAAAAATGATTGTGATAAAAACAATCAGAAGTCAAATAGACAAACATTTACAACAGCATCAACCCATAACAGCAAGGTAAACAACCGAATCAAAACAACAGACGAACTACACAACAGCGTCTAAACAACAGACGAACTACACCACAGCGTCTAAACAAAAGACGAACTACACCACACCGTCTAAACAACAGACGAACTACACCACAACGTCTAATCAACAGACAAACTTCACCACAGCGTCTAAATAACAGACGAACTTCATCACAGCGTCTAAACAACAGACGAACTACACCACAGCGTCTAAACAAAAGGACAAAATATTTCACAGCGTCTAAACAACAGACAAACTACACCACAGCGTCTAAACAACAGACAAACTACACCACAACGTCTAAACAACAGACAAACTACACCACAGCGGGTAAACAACAGAAGAACTACACCACAGCCTCGAAACAAAAGGACAAAATATTTCATAGCATTAAAACAAAAAGACAAAATATACAACCAAACAAAAATGATTTAATCTACGGCGTCAGATAGAAAAATGTATACCTCAACTTCAACGGTCAAGGAAATTACAATTATCGAGATCGAACAAATGTTCCATGGTAAAACCAGCTGTTTTGAAAAAGTGCGATCTTCCTGCACTTTATGTTGTATCCGCAAGACTACTTGCCTAAAAGGTTGAACGAGATAAGGACATATATAAACCCAGAACTGCGATTTGACGTCGTACAAACAATTGGTTTTGAGACAAACACTACATGTTTTGGTTGCTTGCATGCAATTTCTGATGTATCAATTACGACAAAAACATATAAAGAGTTCTTTGTACACTGTTTAAATAATATTTGGAAACAATGTATCAAGATTAAGTATACATTATTGCCATGTATATATACTAAAACAGCTCATGATCAAATGAAAGTATGACGCAGATGATATTTTGGAAAGATTTCTTTAATTATTCAGGACTAGGACCAGTGAAGTTAAGAAATGATATTTTTTTGAAACATTTGATAATTGCAGAACAAATAATGATTCTGTTTCTGAAAAAAAAGGAATTTAGTATTATCATATAGCTCAGAACAACATAAAACAACTCCACAATTGACCAATCGATGCCAACTTGATATCAATGAGCAAGTTTTACTATTTGACAAAATACTCTAAATCCAACACAATATTTCATAGACATTCAAGTATAGCTATGTTGACGGTTAGGTTTGTCTGAAGACGTGATCCACTTTGTACTCACGTGTGTTGACGTATGCGATTTGTTGTCCGGTCGCCTGTGTCCCTATAACCTGTCCGGGCATAGAGCGTCGGTTGGCGTTCACACAGTACACACATATGAAAACAATAAAGGCTACGAATAGCCCTACGCCGACCAGACTGCCGATCACTATACCGGCTACGATCCCCCCGGTAGCATTGGATCTGAAAATAAACATGCATAATATACCACAATATTGTATATAACAGATACTGCCCTCACCAGGACATTGTTACAGGGGACATCGCCTTGTTATTATTCAGCTGGCTGAATCAAGGTCATACATCCTGACAAGGGAGTCACTTAAACGATTTTGTATACCCCGCACATGGTTTTGCATATATGCAAAATGATATTGCACACCCAATAAAAATAAGTCCGGGTGTACAGAATTCAAATAAAAAACTAAATAAAATGAAATGAAAAAATATATATCATTCTGGTATACAGGGACAACAATGATCTACGTAACAATATCAGTCCATATCTTTTCGATGTTGGAATTTTAACATTACTAAATGGACCCATTAAGGTCTGATGTTCACAAATGTGAAAGATATCATTTCGATATAGCCATGAATTAAGTGTACCCTTCATCCTACACCATAGTAGGCCCGTGGTCGATTTAAACATCAGATCGTATTTCTATATCCGGTTCCGGTTCCGGTTGCGTACTTACACATACTCTGAATAGCCGTAGTAATCGACGTAGTGTGCAGGACAGCAGTAGTAGTAGCCAGAGTACCCTCCACAACATCCCTCATTACAGTAGAACGACTCACCCTTATACCTCACAGTGCCGTACACGGAACTGTAAGAGGTAGTGTGATAACAATAGGATGCCATGGCTACTCCTGAAACATATCGTAAGCATAATGTAGAAGATTCAATAGAATGTAATAAATAAATAAATGCCAATCATATAAAGAATACATGTTCTACTTGTCCGTCGGTACCATTACTTGACAGAGTAAATGTTTGTTTACTTAATATATAGTATTTAAAAAGATGGCATTGCATATCAGAACGCTAAAACAAAAATGCATTTTCAAATCATTCTTAAAATAAAATATCAATATTGTTATATTTTAACAAATTATTGGATGTTTTAACTATTGCTAAAATCATTATTGTCAGTTTGATGCGGGATTCTATCAACTAACACCTGTATCGTTTACACAGTGACATATAGAGAACGTTATATATGTTACTGCACAGAACAGCCGTATCCACACTATTAATACGTGACACACTGACAGTAATGTAGACGTACAATAATATCCGTACAACACACTGATAACAATGAAGACATAAAGAATATATCCGTGCAAGACACTGATAGTTATGTAAACATCATATATACTTCAAAACACTTATTGTAATGTAGACATCAAAATATATTTCAAAACACTGATAATAATGAAGCCGTAAGAATTTGTCTCAAATTAAAAAAATATAAAAAAGAGGAAAAAATATGTTTAAAGTAAATATGACACACTAAAACAATACTTAAACTACTCAAAATGACATATTTCGGATAAGATCGTATCCAGCATCATAATTTTAAAATGTTAAATGAATACACGCAATACATACACCACCGTAAAAGAATAAATATTCTTTAGAACGAGCAGTAAAGGTGTCAGTTCAAATGTCTCTACGGAGTAACGAAAGACTTAATGACAGTTTAACCGATCTCAGTTTGACAACGCATTACCATCCCCTACATGGACACCAGTTATATATGCGAGGTGTTGTTTTGTTCACACTTCACCAGCTGCTTTTTCTACTCTATATATTACCCGAAGTAGATATATTAGACGTTTTCCGATTGAACCCTGAAATACAGTAGCTAACTTATCGTCCTGCATTCACAATAGAAAAGCAACCAAAACGCTTTAACAGCTAAGCGTCGGATATTGGGCCCGAGTAAAGTAGGATAAGCATGGTCGGTGATATGTGCATACACTTTGACTTCGCTAAATCAACAACTCTGGGGTGCCTGTAGGTTCATCAACTTTCATTTGTTTACATTTGTTTATGTCAACAGAAGGTCGCTCCTCATTCACGATCGTGTCTAACTAACAGAAATTTAAAGATTTGATAAATTCGACATCTCAAAATCAATATATTCATTTCATTTCAAAGAAAAAAACATTTCCGTTTACGATTTGTCATGTATTGTACTGGTCTGAATTAATTTATTGAATATTTTCCGGAATCATGATAGTGGAAACAAACCCTTCCCGAAGTATGATATTGTGAGCAGTTCCGTAATTTTCAGTTAATTATGTGCATAGTATATCTCCAATTTGCATTCAAATAAGATACCTGTATAGACGTTTAAAGCAAATACGTCTTGTTTGTAACAGAGTTGGTAGTCGGTAAGTGTACCGAGGCCAATTTGCATTCAAATCAAATACCTGTGTGTAGATGTTTAAAGCAAATACGTCTGTTTATTACAGGGTTGGTAGTCGGTAAGTGTCCCGAGGCGTATCGCCGATCAATAACAAACCACATACGGAAATGTGATATATATATAAAATGACATTAAAGTAGTGGTCGGCCAGCTGTTGTATAGGAATACTGAAGCATGCTGCAGGACACACATGTAAACATGTATGCGAAGACATGGGCGCACCTGTATAACGACACACGACTTTGTAGTAAACAGGACTTTATAAAAAAAATACACTTATGCGTCGTTTACAGACCGACTACAGTTTAATTACAATAACGGGTACATACAAGCCTGATACGAGACCATCTATGACGTCGTCTGTCGTCCATCAAGTAATTCACATTATGGTGGTCTAATCAGCTGACATAGGATATATAACTGTTAGTAAATCTTACCTGTAGTGGACAGGAGTACCAACAGCATACCCAGTGTCGCCATCTTGAATCGTAGATGCCCTTTTTGGTTATTTTTAACTTTTACGCATAGCTCGTTGTCACAGCTGCCTACGGTTGAGCGGGTACTCGCTATATCACTGGCAGTCAGGTGGTCAGTATGGTATATAAATACGCCGACACTCTCTATAAAGTTACTCATTGCAGCCTAAATATAGGGGTAAAATACTGACTGAAAAGAGTTACTGTGATAATTTATTATGAACGAGACATTAAATATGAACACGCTACCTGTGTGTTTGTGCTGTGGTAACAACTGCAGGTAGACGTAAAAAAGGTTACTTAAAAATTGTTAACAATTAGGTAATGTTCATTTCGATAACAGCATTTTAAATACAACTGTATTTGGCATTTGTACAAAGCGTAAAATGTAAATATATCAGGAACTCGAGTTTTTTAAACGCCTTTGGTTCAACATTGTGCACATCTGATTTGAAACAGTTATCAGTTCATTAGCAGTGTAAAACAGCATACCATAGACAATAAATATAAAATGCACTAACCTTCATAAAATATGAACAAATAAGTTCCAAAGATATTATTAATCATGGTATTTAGAAAGTTATTATGATATATGCAGTTATTAATTTACAAAACAAAACAAAACGCAAAACTTGTATCAAATATTTAATTTAGAGTCAGAAATTATGTCTTTTGAAGTAGAGATATTGATATGTTGGCTAACTTACCAATTAAATTTCAGATTTAATGTTTTTTTACGAGTATTTTAGATTTTAATCAACATATTATATGATTTAATGACTTATTATTTTATTGTAAATTAGCTTTAAGAATTGTGATTAAAAAGCATGTAATTTTACAAAACAAATGAACAAAGTAATTACGATTGATTTACAAGTTATTTTTAATTTTCTACTGCGGATCCTATTCTAAATGTCTTACCTTGACAGATGTATCCCTTTCACCAATAATGACATAGCCAGGGTGTCCTACACTAAAGTATACGTTAAAGGAATTTCATGACCATTGTCTTAACAATGGAAATACATCATTTAGTCAAGATAATGAAAGACATAAACTAAAAATGGTGTTCCGAATGAGAAAGCGTTCTGTACACCACATGTGAATTACTTTGTGGTTACACATTAAAGATTTAAAACCCAAATGACTTGTTCATGGAAGTCTATGAAATATCATATCATCTGGATTTAGGGTCGTGATGCAGGCAGTTAAGTGTCCCCTGCAAAGATAAACCACACAATAACTGGTCGGAAACCTTATCTTAGTAATTAGTTAGTCAACATGTCACATATAAATTGAAAATTCTTACAATGTTGGATGTACATGCATATGACGTCTTTATCAATAATAGCGTATAATACGATACATTGTTTCAAACCTTTCATATTATATAATAAAATGAGTTTGCTCTGTTTAGAATATTTGGTTTTTTTTTAAAAAAAATGCAATGAATTAACTCCTATCACAACAAGTTAAAAATTCTCACCCAAGTGACTACTTACTGTACTTTATATTCATATCTCATTCCCCGCTCTCTGAGAATTGTTCTAGGCCTTTCTGGAGCAAAGCGATGTTCTATGAAGACATTCATTTCAATGCCGAAAGTTAATGAATTTTGACTTTGTTAGCTGGAATAAGGTGTTTTAAGTTACAGTACACATACAGTTGTTTCTAGTTTTAAGGGTTGTTATATAGGTGTATTGTGGGGCATTGTTGGCACTGATAAACATGTCGATCAGGAAAGTTTTTTCGTTTATGCCGTTCCCCTCTAAACTATATGGTAACGATACCATCAATTAATAAGCATATGAGATGTTTCGAATGAATAAAACGGAAAATGAAAGATCACCAGTATCTGCAGCAGTGGGTCGGCATGTACTTGTTGAATAAATAAGCGAAATCTTAAATTTGATATCTGCGTGATGAAATGTTCAGAGCAAAATAGTATAAGCATTGTCCATTTCTCTCTGATTTACCAATACAGTACACATTCAGATTTTAAAGATGCATTCAGTTGTAGACTATGGTCACTGTGTAAAACCATCAGAATCAATTTGCCTAAATGCATTTTCTTTGATAAAAATAAAACCGATTTTTATTATCATAGATACAAAAAAAATATAGAACATGTATTGTCGGAACATAATATATGTGACTATAATGCCTGAAATAAAACAGACCACTCAATATTGATGACTGGTGTCTAGTCATCTTATTTCCCTAAAAGTGCCTAGCAAGTCTGTTTTGTATCACTGATGTACTCAGGTATACAGTTGATTACCCCTAATAGCATCTCAAATACTTGTAGTTTATCACAGCCGACACTGTGCGGTCATATAATTTGGTAAAAACATATTCAATTTCTCACTTAGGAGGCGCAGAACACCGCCCGCTGATTCATCTGTCTTTTCTGTGATAGTAAAGCCGAGGTAAGTATGGCTTGACTGAATACTATTAGTGTCAGGAAACGATGCCGGTCAGATATGTACAACAGTGGACAGAACCGGATTGATACCGCCTATAGCCATTCATTTTGTAGCTCGATTTTCTCAGATCCTGAAGGGCTGCTTCTGTATTTGCCAACAACACTAAACCATCTGTTTATAACAAAGCCCAAACTTTTCAATTGCCAATGTCTGCACCAACACTTAACATCACGCTACCACAATTGGTACGCTACCCAAATTAGCACAAGGTCAGAAAATGATTCAGATAGTACTTTAAAATTCAATTTGAATATTCTCCTCTGACAGTATAACGAAATAGATATTGATCATCATTTTCTCTGAATAGTTTTGTTTTCAGAATCTTTAAAGAGTTCGCGATGTCTTCATAGTAAACATATCAGAAAACCAGCATAAACGACTTACGTCGACGAAAGTTTGGAAGATTTTAAAGAGATTAAATAATAAGTATGTTTAAATGTTGATTCCTGGTCCTTATAACCGGATAATATGAAAGTGTAAATTATAGTTCAGTATGGTATTTATAAAAGCAATATATTTTGCTGCAATATGCATATCAACTAGTAGAGATATGGTGTACCAATTTGGGTACTAATTATGGTCGAAAAGTGGACGAAATCTCAATGCGAGGTTAGCGTTCTCTTTTAAAAATAAGTCACTTATAATCAAAACATTTTTCTGAAAATGTACTACCATGGGTAGTCTTTGTCAAGTATGAAAGACATTCTCGATACAATATCTAAATTTTTAAATATCACTGATATCTGTAGCGTGACGTTAATCTATAAGGGAAAGTTATAGTTTAGCAATTGAAAAGGACTGACTTGTAAGACTCAGCATTTTACCTTAAATCAGTTCGTACACTGCAAGTAACTGATTTAAAAATGCAGCACTACAAATTATTGCAGAGAATATTAACTAGCACCAAGACACATTGAAGCCTGATTTATTTTTAATTAAAGCTAACATGACACTTTTATTCGCTGAATTAGATGATGTTATACCAGACGAAGCTCCAAATATTAATATTTACCCTTTAATAACCTGTGTGCGAAGTCCTTTCACCATCGTGACTTTAACCATTAATCAAAACTAGAATAGAGTAAGGACAAGAATATCAGGAATTTTATTTATATATTTATTATATTAAAAATGTAAATGTATACTTATTTGTTACAGTTGTGGGATCGCACAACGTTACACGATGTGCTGTGTGCGTGCGATGTGCGCACGGTGTGTGCACGATGTATGCACGATGGGCTAACTATTAAAATCTGGACGATTATTGCTTGCGCACATTTGTGCGGGCGATGGACGAACGTTGTGCGAAGACAATCGTGGTTGGTGTAAATTGAGAAACGGATTAACAATATATACGGCATCGTGTTTAAACATATAGACTTGATTTTTAAGTATATTTCTTTATTATAGCTTCATATACCAGCTGATTTTTCTGCATTTATCTTTATTTTCTTAAATTTAGAAATGGTGATTTCGGTGTTTTCTTAACGACCCATACGAGGGTTCCGGATATCTTTCGTTCCGTAATATTGATCAACCAATTATGCAGCGTCAAGCGCACAACGGGGCGAACGATTGTCAAATCGCACAGTTGTGCGCACCCTGTGTGGACGATGTGCGGACGGTGTGTGCACGATGTATGCACGATGTGCGCACGCTATTTTTGGTGCGTTGTGCGGTCACACAATTGTAATATATATGTCTGAACATTTTCTTCAGGTTGGTGAGTATGGATTATGAGAAGTTCTTTTTACACAACCAATAAAAGTTTCTATGTGACGTTTCGAAGACTAGAACGATATGTACACTGTCACCTTCATCAGACAAATGACCAATGAAGCGTATGCACACAAAGGTGTAAAATGTGTACGAGTTGTCTATAAATTCGGCTACGCTGGAAACGTATGTACAAAAGAGCAGAATCATATCGCTAGGGCAATGAGAACATGTGCATATCCGGATTGGGCCCTAAAACGGGTAAAAAACCCAGGATCAAAGTAAGGAGAAGAACAAGAAAATGCAAATCAAGGATAAGAACAAAACCAAAGGTCAAGTGGTTATTCCGTATATAAAGGGTATATCCGTAACCATCCAGAGGATATATCGCGGTCATGGCATAGCAACAGCCATGAAGCCCCACAGGACGCTTCTTTATATCCTAGTACACCCTAAGGATAAAACACCTAAAGTAAACGTCTCAGAATGCGTATACAAAATCGGATGCAAAAACTGCGACGCGTCGTATATTGGAGAGACTGGAAGGCGATTTGGGGTCCGCCTTGGTGAACACCCGAAAGACACAGAAACCCAAGAAGGTATGAAATTTACCAGATCTGAAAGAAAACAGTCGAAGTCCCAGATAAATAAATCGGCAATCACAGACCATGCCACACAGAAACACCATGCATTTTTTTTCTTAAAACCTGTCTTAAATTAAATATCACCCTCGGTCACAGAAATACTCACGTTTTAGCATAGGTCGTCAAACTGTATTTTTCACAATATTTACCTATGTGCTGAGTACAAAAATAGACTACATGAAAAGCTAGCTTTTGTTGTGTAGACACAGATTCGTAAAAGGCCAAAAATGTAGTCTCAAGCCAAATTCGCATATATTTTTTTAAATGTGAAGCACACATAGTCCAATTTATCATGTATATGCCAATTTTAGAGCTGAGTGGTTTTTTTTTAACTTTTGATACATGTAATATTACAGGGGTTATTCATTGTAAAAAAATATCAACCATGGCCACCGTACGCTATTGTACACTGCTACCTTATACATCAATTTCCTTTTTTTCCAAAATTTAATCAAAACCTTTTAAATGTCTGAAAAATGACACAATAAACAAAATGATGTATCCGTTTCCTTTCTCACTTCAAAAGTGACCGAGTAATATGAAATCTCCTGACAGGTGAATTTTTACCAATTCTGCTCTCAAACTACCAATAAAGGGATGTTATCTGAAAAATTAAAACTTGAATAGGTTTGCAGTTTTCATGAATAAAGTTGCTTTTTTGGTGAAATATGATGCTTTGAGATCATGTGCATGTGAAAAACAAAACAGTACAGTGATACTACGATGTTTCTGTCTTGTTTGATGACGTCATAGTAACTGTGATGTCATCATAACTGTGACGTCATCAATGGGCATCTATGACATCATCAAGGCTCACTGATATCAAAATGAGCACTAGGAAACTCATCACAACAACAAACTAGCAACAGACACACTTCCCGTAACCGATGAACAGCACCAAGATGTCAGATATTCTAAAACATCAAACAAGTGCCACCATAGCAACCGTTATTTACTTTCCTCGCCTAGAATTGACAGTGATCCTCAGAAATTATTCATTTAACATATTTTGCTAGAAAAAAAAGATTTTCTTCAGCTGTAATTATGGAAATAAAATTTGTTGACATTACTGACTTTGCTAATTTAATTTGTATGCTGAATCAAGTGGGAAAAAAACCCATCTAGAATAGTGTAATTAGAATGAAAACAGATATTTTACCCATTTTCAACAAATACAACTTTATGTTTTAGTAACCATGGATACCGGATGCTGAACTGAGTGAAACAGACTGAAATTTAGGCTGAATGCATAAGGAGATAGCCTGTGAACTATTTGATGTTTGGTATCAACTTTACCAATTACACAATTTGATACATATGTGATGATTTGTGAAGTGCCTCTGAAAAGGGCGAGTTACCCCCTTTATACATCCACAGGTAATAGGCTATTGACCTTTATATTGACCTATATGTGTAACATTTTAAACTTTTTTGAGTAGTTTTTAGCAATAATGAATGAAAGTGAAGCTGAATCAAGCATTAAAAGGGTTTTTTTCAGAAAAATTCAAAGTCTGTGTGTATCAGGTAGCAGAGTAAAGTAGAAATGGCTTGACCCTGAAAATAAACGTCATGTCTCGGATAAACATGGATAGCGGATTCATCCTGCACAACACACCTACATATATATATATATATTCATATACTACATTTTTAATACGCTTTTTTTAGAAGAATTTTTTTTTTTTTCAAAAAGTGATTTCCCCAGATTTGGGACTTGTGAAAACCATTGTTACCACATCAAAAAACGCCAAATAATGCAAAAAACATGATTTTTAACCCAAAATTGGACCCACGCAAGTAGTATTTTCTTTTTCTTAAAACCTGTCATAAATTACATATCACCCTCGGTCACAGAAATACTCACGTTTTAGCATAGGTCGTCAAACTAGATCTTTCACAATATTTACACATGTGCTGAGTACAAAAATAGTTTACATGAAAAGCTAGTTTTTGTTGTGTAGACACAGATTCGTAAATGGCCAAAAATGTAGTCTCAAACCAAATTCGAATTATCATTTTTTTAAATGTAAAGCCCACATAGTCCAATTCATCATGTATATGCCAATTTTAGAGCTGAGTGTTTTTTTTTTTAACTTTTGATACATGTAATATTACAGGGGTTATTCATTGTACAAGAATATCACCCATGGCCACCGTACGCTACTGTACACTACTACATTACCTAGACGCCAATGAATGTATATGTATATATATGTCATATAATTTTGGAAAAATCAAAACCCATTCTGAACCGCAATGAAAGTGTCTTTATTCAAGGTGGCCACTTGCAGCCATATCGGATTTTTTAATTCGGCCCACAATACATTGAACAGGTCCTCGATCCTGCAAGCATTTGTAAAAAAATCATGAAATACAAATTAGTTCTCAAGATTTATCACACAAAATCATTATCTAAAATTTCTTATCGAAGTCGTCGAAAATAACTTCTGATATGGTTATTGATTCAGGAAATTATTGAGGAAATTGTCAGAAAAAAGTCAGAAATGTCAGAAAAATCATTTAAAGTATTCCTTTAATAGTTTTCGCACGGAAAGCTATTTTTGGACGATGACAAATTGATCAAAAACAAATATCAGGGCCCATATACATGAAACCGTTCTCATGCTCTAACCAACTTTCTTGGAACTCTTTTAAATCATGTGACACGGTGAAAAAAGCAACGTGTAAACATTTTAGGAGTTATTGTATTTGTAATATGTCCAACCTTCTTCCAAATCATTGACAAAAAGTGTTTGTGTAAGAAATTATAGAAAAAAGTATTGGGCTTTATCACATAATATGATGTTGGATCATGAGAACGGTTTGATGGTCTTTTATATACGAAAGAACAAGTCCCTCTCTAACGGACATGCATCAAAAACGTTTATCAATAGCGATCTATTTTTAGAATGATAATGATAATCTGTCCAAGTGACCGTCAGATTATTATTCTTTCGTATATAATTAAAGTATGTTAAGTTTGCTTAAACCAAAACCTGTCGAGATAATTTCCGAGGAAAGATAACTGCATATTTTCTATGCATACATATAACCCTTGCTAGAAGAAACTCTACACGCTATATCTATTTTGATGAATTATAATAATATATCTTCATATAATTTTAATAGAAATCAAATTTACCTGTCATCTTGAAAGAAAATAAACAACAAAACACAATATTACAAATATATCTGATAATTTTACTAGAAAATATCGTAAATTTGATTTGCAATTGTAGGTATGTTTTGAACACAAACAATATACATATATAAACGATTCTGCATTAGTATAACGTATAAGATAACATATACATACTAAATTATATTTAGTCAATGTCACCGGATCCACGATAATGTCGAAACATAATGACGATATTTAGGTATTACCTGTAGTTCTAGCTTTCCTAAAGGCGTCATTATTGCATTTCCTATTTTCATAGAGAATTCAAAAGGAATTTGGTAGTAGGTGAGTTAAACATTCTCCGCAAAGAGTTTGCTGTCATCACAAACAGCTGATTTATTAACCCTGGAATAATTCGGAATACATTTCATTAATATCGTTGACACGAAAATGATTTCTAATAAATGGACAATGAAAACATGTAACTACATCTCAGTTGAGGCAAAAGATTCGATAAAAACATAATAAATATTGCAATAGAGTAAGTTAATATCAAATACTAAATATTTAAAGAAAAAATGCAAATAGACATTTCGGATTACCTCCGTTAGGATTAAAGACGTTTAAATAAATCTATAGGGTTATATATCGTGGTTGAATATGTAACTCGGGATTATGAAACTCAATCCAAGTCGGTCTTTATCATCGATCCTTATCACAGCCTCCACATTCAACCCCCCCACCCCCACCAGGTGTGTCGGTGACAGGTCCGGGAATTAACGCGGTACCAGCGTCCGGCGTAAAACCTTGGTTACGATAGGGTTGCATTCCTGGTTGAACTGTATTTTCCGGCTGGACAGAATCTGAAATTTTATAAAGTTGAAAACAAATTTACATTAACGATAGTTATATCAGAATTCAGTAGTGACAACTCTTATTGATGGCTGATGGTTGATGGCGCTAAGTTTTCCAATTAAAGTGTTTTTTTTTACAAGAACGTAGCCAATAGTACATGCACATCATCTGCCAGTGCTTACTGCGTCCTTCCTTTGTTTACTTAACGTCCTCGCAACAGCTAAGTCATATGGAGACGGGTGTCTAGTGAGATACCGGCGAAAGAAAAGATAAATATTCCAAGTGTTGTTCGCTGAAGTAGGGGACGGGGCGAGCGATCAATTTTTGTTTTTAATGTCCAATAAGGAGAATTCACAGACGAAAATCCCTGGTTCTGCTGAAAACCCCTCCTTTGTCGCCTCGCCCCTTACTGTTAACTTCATGCTATACTGCATATACGGTTCTTTCGATTTTTATGATGTATAGCATAAAGCTTACATACACAAAGAAACATAAATAAATAAAAAAAAGAAAAATTTCAAAGAAACAAAATTGTTTTTCAATAAAGACAAATTTGTATTGACGTCGAAACTCAAAAAATGGGGCAGACACGGAAAATAATCAAAATCATTTAATTGTTTGGATTTTAGATACCAGATTGACCCGTTTTAATACATTTCATAGATTTCATAGCGTGAATAAGGACAATAACCAATATACTTGATTCGAGAGAGAACTGAAAAGACCCTGATTTAAAAGGACGCCGACAAAAAACGAATGCAAAATTAGGCACTGAGATAGTAAGTGTTTCGTGAATCTCCGGTACCCGTCGTGATCTCCGAGATTTCATTGTAGAAAATAATGTCATTATGACGACAGATGATTTTTTGAACAAACATTGAGAACGAGGAGGTACAAAACTAAACTGCGAAATTAGTTCCCGATAATAAGAACATGCTCTCGAGCAACGCAAAAAAATAACAAATTAATGATCCTGTAGACGAGTATACGAGTAATTAATTCAGTTTTACTTTAATATGACTAAAACATAACCCAATGCAATTTTAATCTTGTATTGAAAGAGTGACAAAATTAGTCATGCAACATGTCCAACTTTCTAAAATAAAGATACTTCTTAACTAAACATGGTCAAACGACATACAAGTCACTAAATCATGCAAACACTCGACATTTACTCCAAATCCCCAACTGACTACAGTATACAAAACAAGGGCGTGCTAAGTGATAACAGCATCTACTTAGTTTGTATATGTACATTGTGGTAATGTTACGATATTACTTATGCTGACTTTACCTATCACAAATATTCAACTTAAGATTTGTATGGTCAATTCACTGTAGAAATGGCGAATTATGACTTCCCTTACACAATGGCATGATTCTTCGTTTTTAGAGTTGTTTATTTCACATCCCCAGGTAGGTTGAACATAAAACGTTAACATGTATACCTTCCAATTGACCGTACCACTGACCAAATACTGATTTGTAACATTCTAGCATTTGGTCCGCTATCATCAACTGGCTTCTATGTGATTAAATGTATTGTACTTTACATGTTTAAATAGGTGGTTTAGTTTCAGATTTATCACATACCCTGGTAAACGACTTATACGATGTACCATTGTTGATGCGTTATGTCGATGGCTAATACATGTAATTTAATTTGTTTTTTAGCAACTTGATTTGTATGACAAAAGTGCTTACTAGTGCAATACAGCGTCACCACTCCTACATTATCAGAACATTTAGTAATATGGTATTTTCTTTTTAACTTTTGAGATCTAATGGTGCTATATATGCTACGAGGGTGACACCACTGAACGAGATTGGAGTAGATAAAGAGGAGACGGATGTCATGATAGTGACAGATAGTCTTACTACTCGCTTTTAAGTCCGACAAGACTTAAAGTACGGGGCTCATAAAACCATTCTGATACTGCTGGTGTTCTCATAAAGAGCGTTTGGTATATAAAGAGGTCGATGTGACCGGGTGGGGTGTCCTGGGTGTATTCGGCAGTATGTTCCAGTGAGGTAGCACTATAAAGTCGGCTTTTTGGAATATACTAATATAATGTCCACATACAGGATGATAATGTCAACAAACAGGATATGATATTATCAACAAACAGGGTATGATATTGTCCACAGACAGGATATGATATTGTCAACAAACAGGAAATGATCTTGTCCACATAAGGATATGATAATGTCAACAAACAAGATATGAAATTGTCAACAAACAGGATATGATATTGTCAACAAACAGGATATGATATTGTCCACATAAGGATATGATAATGTCAACAAACAAGATATGAAATTGTCCACAGACAGGATATGATATTGTCAACAAAAAGGATATGATATTGTTCACAGACAGGATATGATAATGTCAACAAACAAGATATGAAATTGTCAACAAACAGGATATGATATTGTCAACAAACAGGATATGATATTGTCCACATACAGGATATGATAATGTCAACAAACAATATATGATATTGTCAACAAACAGGATATGATATTGTCAACAAACAGGATATGATATTGTCCACAGACAGGATATGATATTGTCCACAGACAGGATATGATATTGTCCGCAGACAGGATATGATATTGTCCACAGACAGGATATGATATTGTCAACAAACAGGATATGATATTGTCCACAGACAGGATATGATATTGTTCATATACAGGATATGACATTGTCCACAAACAAGATACGATATTGTTTTATTGTATTTGATGCACCAATAGTGAGTTTATTCATACAAAAATGTAAAAAAAAAAATTAGTCATTGTGATGAAACAATCTGAAGTCAAAGAGACAAAAATCTACTCCAGCATTAACTCACAACAGCAAGGACAACAACCGAATAACAACAACAGACGAACTAAGCCACAGCGTCTAAACAACAGACGAACTACACCACAGTGTCTAAACAACAGACGGACTACGCCACAGCATCTAAACAACAGACTAACTACACCACAGCCTCTAAACAACAGACTAACTACACCACAGCGTCTGAACAACAGATGAACTACACCACAGCGTCTAAACAAAAGACGAACTACACCACAGCGTCTAAACAAAAGACGAACTACATCACAACGTCTAAACAACAGACGAACTAAGCCACAGCGTCTAAAAAAAGGACAAAATATTCCACAGCGTCTAAACAAAAGGGCAAAATAGTCCACAGCGTCAAAACAAAAAAAAAACAAAAAAAATATACAACCAAACAAAAATAACTTTATATACAGCGTCAGCACACAAAAGATAGATGTATACCATAACTTCAACAATTATGGAATTTACAATTATCGAGACGGAAAAAGGGCTCCAGGGCGAAACAAGCTGTTTTGAAAAAGTGCAATTTTCCTTCACTTTACGATATCCGTAAGACTTGCCTAAAATGTTCAACAAGATAAGGACATATATAAACCCAGAACTGCGATTTGACGTCTTACAAACAATAGGATTTGAGACAAACACTACATGTTTTGATTGCTTGCATTTGAATTCTGCTGTTTCAATTACGCAAAAACATATAAAGAGTTCTTGGTAAATTCCATTTGGTATCAATGTATCAAGATAAAGAATAAATTATTTCCATATTCATATACTAAAAAAACTCATGATCAAATATTAGGAAACTATAATGCCGATGATATTTCGGAAAGATTTCTTTAATTATTCAATGACGAGGGCCAGTGAGGTTAAGAACTGACTTTAATTTAATAGTTGCAGAATAAATAATGATACTGCTTCTGAAGAAATGAATTCGGCATTATTATAATAGCTCAGAGCACCATAAAAACTCCACAACTGACAAATCCATGCAAACTCGATATCAGAAAGACAGTTTTACTATTTTACGAAATACTCTTAATCGAACAGAATATTTCATAAACATTGAAGTATAACTATTTCGACAAGTAGGTTTGTCTGATGCCGTGATCCACTTCATACTCACACGCGTTGATGTATGTAATATGTGGTCTGGTCGCCGGTGTCCCGAAAACCGGTCTGGTCACCGGTGTCCTGATATCCCGTCCGGTCGTAGGTGTCCTGGAGCGTAGTTTGGCTTTTATACAGTACAAACATAACCTAAAAAAGGCTACGAATAGCCCTCCGCCGACCAGACTGCCGATCGCCATACCGGCTACCGTCAACGCGGAAGCAGTGGACCTGAAAATAAACATACATAATATACATACAATAATGTATATACGAGATGCTGCTCTCACCAGGACATTGTTACCAGTTATTATTCTGCTATCTCAAGATTGACAAAAACATCAGGCGAGTCACAATTTCGTCGATATCGTATACCCCGTAACTAAGTTTTACATATATGCAAAATGATCTTGCACTCACAATAAAAAGAAGTCTGCGTATTCAGAAATCGAACGAAAACCTAAATAAAATGACATGAAAAGAATACCATCCTGGAATCCTGGGAACAATAATGTTCTACGTAACAATATCAGTCCATATCTGTTCGATGTTGGAATTTTAACATTACTTAATGGACCCATATAGGTGTTCACAAATGTGAAAGATGTCATTTCGATATAACCATGAATAAAGTGTACCGTTTCTCCTACACTATAGTAAGTCCGTGGTTGATTTATACATCAGATCGCATTTCTATCTAAGGTTCCGGTTGCGTTGTAATACGTACATGTCAGTACAGCAGTTTTGGTAGCCACTGTACACTCCACAACATCTCTCTTTACAGTAGAACGACTCACTCTTATACCTCAGACTGCCGTACAACAAATTGTACTCAGAGATAGTGGAATAGCAATCGGATGCCATGGCTACTCCTGAAACATATCGTATGTGTAATGTAGTAGATTAAATAGCATGTAATTAATAGATGACTGTAAATCCTATAAAGAATACATGTTTTACTTGACCGTCGGTACCATAACTTTACATGGTAGATCTGTGTATACTAAATATTTATTTTTTAAAGAAACGGCATTGCAAATCAGAACGCTTTCAAAATTGTGCATTTTCAAATCATTCCTTAAATATAATATTATTATTGATTTATTTTGACAAGTTATATGAGGTTCTTGCTATTGTTAAAGTATTTTTTGTCAGTAAGATACGGGATTCTATCAACGAACACTTGTATCGTTTACACATTGACAGAAATAGAACGGTATATATGTTACTACACTGAACAGCCGTATCCACAATATCAATAGTGTAGAGTGTCACGCTGATAATAATGTAGACGTAAAACCATAACCTTAAAGCACACTGATAATAATGTAGATGTAAAACCATAACCTTAAAACACACTGATAATAATGTAGACGTAACACCATAACCTTACTTCACACTGATAGTTATGTAGACGTAAAACCACAACCTTACAACACACTGATAGTTATGTAGACGTAAAACCTTAACCTTACAACACACTGATAGTTATTTAGACGTAAAACCATAACCCTACGACACACTGATAGTTATGTAGACGCAAAACCATAACCTTATGACACACTGATTGCTATGTAGACGTAAAACCATAACCTTATAACACACTGATAGTTATGTAGATGTAAAGCCATAACCTTACAACACACTGATAGTAATATAGACGTAAAACCATAACCTCACAACACACTGATAGTTATGTAGATGTAAACCATAACCTTAACACACACTGATAGTTATTTAGACGTAAAACCATAACCTTACGACACACTGATTGTTATGTAGACGTAAAACCATAACCTTCCTTCACACTGATAGTTATGTAGACGTAAAATCATAACATTACATCACACTGATAATAACGTAGACGTAAAATCATAACCTTACATCACACTGATAATAATGTAGACGTAAAACCATAACCTTAGAACACACTGATAATAATGTAGACGTAAAACCATAACCTTATAACACCCTGATAGTTATGTAGATGTAAAACCATGACCTTAAAACACACTGATAATAATGCAGACGTAACACCATAACCTTACTTCACTCTGATAGTTATGTAGACGTAAAACCATATCCTTACAACACACTGATAGTAATGTAGACGTAAAATCATATCCGTACAACACACTGATAGTAATGTAGACGTAAAATCATATCCGTACAACACACTGATAGTAATGTAGACGTAAAATCATATCCGTACAACACACTGATAGTAATGTAGACGTAAAACCATAACCTTATGACACACTGATTGTTATGTAGACGTAAAACCATAACCTTATAACACACTGATAGTTATGTAGATGTAAAACCATAACCTTACAACACACTGATAGTTATGTAGATGTAAAACCATAACCTTATGACACACTGATTGTTATGTAGACGTAAAACCATAACCTTATAACACACTGATAGTTATGTAGATGTAAAACCATAACCTTACAACACACTGATAGTTATGTAGATGTAAAACCATAACCTTATGACACACTGATTGTTATGTAGACGTAAAACCATAACCTTATAACACACTGATAGTTATGTAGACGTAAAACCATAACCTTACAACACACTGATAGTTATGTAGATGTAAAACCATAACCTTACAACACACTGATAGTTATGTAGACGTAAAATCATAACCTTACATCACACTGATAATAACGTAGACGTAAAATCATAACCTTACATCACACTGATAATAATGTAGACGTAAAACCATAACCTTACAACACACTGATAGTAATGTAGACCTAAAACCATAACCTTACAACCACTGATAGTTATGTAGACGTAAAACCATATCAGTACAAGGACTCACACAACTAAATCAGCCAATCAGCAAGTGTTTCATACGTTTGAAGTCCCTATCTAAAATTAGTTCCGGCTAATTACTGGGCCAATGAGGAAGTTTAATAAGGAACTGATGATAGATTTTTAGATAAATAGAATGTTCAGGTATTTAACTTTTGAACAAAAATTTACTTTTGATATATTTCCATGTCTGTGTGCGGATTTGTACAGGGGCAAAATGTCTTGGGGCGTTTCTGTTTTGGGTCACCGGTTTTGCTTGTAAACTTTCGGTTGTCAACTTCAGAACGCTGTGATACTCAAATATGCCACTAAACCTATCCAAAAAGTCATTTTGTAGCCTTTGCAAGGTATGTATTTACAATCTAGACAATTGTCACTGGTGTTGAACTTCAAACATTAAAGTTATTAGCTAAAATGTTTAAGGACTCACACAACTAAATCAGCCAATCAGCAAGTGTTTCATACGTTTGTAGTTCCTATCTTAAATTAGTTCCGGCTAATTACTGGGCCAATGAGGAAGTTTGATAAGGAACTGATGACAGATTTTTAGATAAATAAATTGTTCAGGTATTTAACTTTTGAAAAAGTTAGACTTTTTATATATTTCCATATCGTGTGCGGATTTGCACCGGAACAAAATATCTGGGGGCGTTTCTGTTTAGGGTCACCAGTTTTGCTTGTAAACCTCCGGTTGTCAACTTCTGGACAATGTGACACTCCAATATGCCACTTAACAGATCAAAACAGTCATTTTGTAGCCTTTGCAATGTATGTTTTTTATGAATCTAGACAGTTGTCACTGGTGTTGAACTTCAAAAGTTATTAGCTAAAATATTTGGTAATAACATATAGTAAATGATTTAGTTGTGCGAGTCCTACAACAAACTAATACTAATGTAACTGTACAATACAGTGATAAAAATACAGACAATACGCTTTATCAGAACGACACTCTGACAATAATATAGACATAACAATCATACTGTTACAACACACTGACAGTAATGTAGACGTACACTATTATCCGTACAACAAACTGATAATAATGAAGACATAACGCTGTAAAATTAAAAATATATCTCAACAACACAATGATAGTAATGAAGACGTAGAATTGTGTTTCATCTGTTTTGTTTTATTCAAATTTGTGTGGTTACAATGTAATATACTATTTGTTAACATAATATCCATATAAGTACACTTTGTCCCTAAATTTCATCCCAGCTTTCATATTTTATTGCATTATAGATGGACAAAGTGTATGAGTTTATGTAAATAAAGTATACTTGTCTGAATATTACATAAAAACCACACATTATATATTTTGTACTTAATTGTAAACACAAACTTCATGAAAAGGAAACTTTAACACATATTTAGTACCAATCATTCAATAATTAATCCACAAATTTCCATTTTCCTTTAATCCTGTTTTGATTTTAGCAGTATAATTGTAAAGTCCTAAAACCTCTGTTGATCTATCGAAACGTACGTATGTAGGTATTAAATTAATTTAACGTAGGGATAGATCCCTTTATTTTACTCCTGTTTATAAAGTATCTTATAACTATTGATAAAGAATTGAATTCATATTCATTCTTTTTCAAGGTATAGCCGAATAACCCATTTTCGGGTTGTCTGGATAGATCTATTTCCAAATTATCTTTTAAAAGTTGTAAGATTGATGACCAAAAGGACTGTACGTGGAAATATTCCCATATGTTTAGTAATGTTCAGTATAGATATGGCACACTAAAAATACTAAATCTACTCAAAATTACATATCTCGGATAAGATCGTTCCCAGAATCATAAATTTGAAATGATAAATGAATACATGCAATACATACACCATCGTAAAGGGAAAATATTCTTTAGAATGAGCGGTGGAAACAAACTTACCCCAGATATGTTATTTTTAGCATTTCCGTAATTTTCAATAAAATACGTATGTGCATAATATATTTCCAATTTGCATAAGAGGCAGATACCTGTGTGAAGACTTTTAAAGCAAAAACGTCTGTTTTTTACAGGGTTGGTAGTCGGTAAGTGTATCGAGGCGTATCGCCGATCAATAACAAACCACATACGGAATTGTGATACATAAAATGTATATAAACTGACATTAAAGTAGTGGTCGACCAGCTGTTGTAAAGGAATTCTTAAGCATGCTGCAGGACACAAATGTTAACATGTATAAAAAGACATGGGCGCACCTGTATAAAGACACACGACTATACAGTAATCATGGCTTTATGTAACAATTTCACACATATGCGCCATCTTTTGACCGACTACAGTTTAATGACAATAACGGGTACATACAAGCCTGATACGAGACCATCTATGACGTCATCTGTTGTCCATCTAATAATAAACAATATGGTGGTATAATCACCTGACATAAGACATAGAACTGTTAGTAAATCTTACCTGTAGTGGACAGGAGTAGCAACAGCATACCTAGTGTCGCCATCTTGAATCGTAGATTTCCTTGTTGGTAATTTGTTTTAACTTTTATATATAGCTCATTGTCACAACTGCCTAAGGTTGAGCGGGTACTTGCACAATCACTGGCAGTTAGGTGTGCATTCATGACAGGAGTTTTTGTTATATAAATACGCCGACTCTCTCTATTAAGTTACCCGGTGCAGCCAAAATATAGGGGTAATATACCGACTGAAAAGAGTAACTGTGATATGTTTTTTCTGAATGAAACATTAAATATGACAGTAAACTTTAACACAACACGCTACCTGTGTGGTTGTGCTGTGGTAAAAACTGCAGGTAGACACAAAATAGAGTTACTTCAAAATTGTTAACAATTAGGTAATGTTCATTTGGATAAAATCATTTTAAATACAACTGTATTTGGCGTTTGTACAAAGTGTAAAATGTAAATATATCAGGGACTCGAGTTTTGTTACAACTTTTGGTTCAACATTGTGCACATCTGATTTGAAACAATTTTCAGTTCATTGGTAGTATTAAACAGCATACCATAGACGATAAATATAAAATGCATCAACCTTCATAAAAGATAAACAAACACGTTCCAAATATATTATTTAATCATGGTATTTAGAAAGTTATTAATTTCCAAAACAAAACAAAACAAAACGCAAAACTTGTATCAAGTATTTAATTTAGAGTTAGAAATTATGGTTTTTGATGCAGAGATACGGATGTGTTGGCTACCAGCTAACAATGAAACGTTTTAACAACGTTGTGTTTTGGTTGCAAAAACGTTGTACAGTGACGTTGTGACAACGTTATTTTGTGGAGTCCCAGAAACGTTGTGACAACGTTGTGAGTAACGTTGTTATAAACCTTATAGTAACGTTGTGACAACGTTATTTTGTTGAGTCCCAGAAACGTTTTGACAACGTTGTGAATAACGTTGTTATAAACCTTATAGTAACGTTGCGGCAACGTTGTGAATAACGTTGTGATATACCTTATAGCAACGTTGTGACAACGTTATTTGAACCCCCTAAATGGAACGCGAAAATAAATAAAACGTTACACCACATTTCACTTTTTGTTCTCATTTATTACAACTTTAATTGGAATCGGAAGAGAATTCCATGTCTGGTAATGGGGTCACTGCCTTCCCTGGCGTCTTCTACAAATAGAAAAAAAATCAATCGTAGATCAAAGGAGTCAATAACTGGATGTTTAAAGTCACAAAATTTGCCGTAGAAGTGACAACTGTTGCTGCTGGTTGTTTATAATTGTGTCCATCTTCATCAGGACACAAACCTGGAAATCTGTTTAAAAAACAATCTTGAATATATTTTTTCTATATTTTGGAAAGACGAGGAAATTAAAAATATTTTCTGTGACGAAACAAGATGCTCACCTGGTATTGTACAATGTAATGATATTTTAAAAATCATTCAAAGAACTAAAACATGTCAGCTGATAAAAAGCCAAGGTGGCAATACTGTATTGATGCAGTGTATTCGGAATCGCCCCCAAAAACAACAACAATTTGTCAAAGAAATGAGAGGATCATAAATTATTATGTATACTAGATTTGTTAAAATCTGCTTGTACCTGAACTACCCAGCAGGGCATTAGAAAAAAGTTTATGAAACCACAGTATGGAATTATCTGGTAAGTCATTTGAACCTACAGACAACATTCTGATCCATCAAAAATAGTTTTGCAGCTTTCCATCAAGAACAAAAGAGGAATTAAATTACATATCAACATACTTTCATCAGTGTCTTCCCTCTGTTCTCTTTCTTCACACCTTTTCTCCGCTGGAAATGTTGGAGTTCCAGAATGAGATCTAGATGGTACTAGTATAAATAGAAAAATATTACAAAAATCATGCAAATTCGAAAGTACATTTAGGAATATGAATGTCTTTCATTTCATGCATTGTTATTTGTACACCCTCAAAACATTTCTCATTCAAAGGATCAACAGTTTTTAATCGCGATGTATGTGTGTGTTCAGAAATATCGAGTAAATGACAATCAAATCATTGTGTAGCCTCCATCTATTAGAGTTACCTCCCTTCGTTATCGCTGTATTCATCAAGCAATAGCAAAGGGAGGTAACTATGATAGATGATAAATGCACTTTGCAGCTAATTAGCAAAATAGCAAGAAATCATATAAGCTGACATGTTAGGGAATACTCGTAAACGAACATTGTACACAATTAAATGTATACTTATTGATGATATTGTAGATCAAGTTTAATATTTCTGATCCTCAAGAACACAAAAACAACTAGATCTAGATAGATTGATACTTACGTGTACTTTCCTGTTGTCGTCATTTCAATGGTCGCATGGGTGTAACCCTAATACTGTCATCTACATTAAACAAAAGTAGAATTATGTTTTGCATCAAGGACCTAGACTTCACTGAATATTAAGTACATATAACTGAAAAAGAAACAAGAGGTCCATTCGGCTTTTATCACTCACCAGGTTTTGCTATTGTTCAACGGTAAAAGAAGTAGAAATGTTTAAGTTTAAGCCAATAAGAAACCAGAGCGACCATACCGGAGTTCAAATCAACCAGAGAAATAACAGCCCTTACAGAAATAAAAAGTTTGCGGCAAATTTGCCGCAAAGGATTTTGTTTGCAAGAAACTATCACCAGAGGTTTCCGGTTGTTGCAGCTAGCCGCAAAGTTTCCGGTGAAGTTGCCGCGAACAGTTTTATTTGCTAGAACATCGCGGCAAAGTTGCCGCAAATTCACCAGAAACTTTGCCAGAAATACTGTTTGCCGCAAATTCACCAGAAACTTTGCGGAAAAATTATTTGCTGATGAATCAGATATCAATGGATTCAATATCACATCACCAGAGTATGATGAGAGAGCTCTGTTTTAAAAGGCATTTGCCGCAAAGTTTCCCGCGAACATTTGCCGCAAAGTTTCCCGCGAATATTTGCCGCAAAGTTTCCCGAGAATATTTGCCGCAAAGTTTCCCGCGAAATCTGAATAGTTGCCGCAAATTTGCAGTAAGCTGTTGTACATGCATAATCATGCACTGTCAGCTAGTGTATTGGCCACAGCTCCGAGTCTATCTAACATTAAGTGCATGCCTACATATACAGTTGAAAGTAAATACTCGGTTATTCGTGCAGAAGGAAACAGTTGGGTAGTACAAATATGTACTGTACCTGTATAGCAGAGTATCCTGACTTTGTATTTGTTCCATTTTGTCTTGTCTGGAAACTCCATCTTCTTAGCTCTGACGGAAGGATTAATATTCGGCCAGTAACAGTACAATAGCTGTAATATGAATTTAAAAATATGTACAACACAAAATACAGCATGCATATTTATGGTCAAATTAACATACAAAACATACAACTTATGCGTATGCACATACAAACATGACGTCACGTCACGTTACAAATTATAATCAACCATCACTCGTTGGACATCAATCTGTAGTATTTACAAATTTCAACATTTATAGTCCATTGATTGTGATATACTCACGTCATGAGAGCTTTCAATCCATGATTTGTGGACGACTTCCACAGAGTTTTCCATCAGAAACTCCACCACTGCATAATTTAGGACTGGCATCTGTAAATAGAAACAATTACATTATCGAGCTGACAGAATACTATAGTAGATTCCAGTTACAACTTGTACATACATCTGTCCTGGCCCCAGTTTCAGTCAACTTCGAGGACGAAATTTTCAACATTATTAAAAAAAATCAAGAGTATCAATCAAATAGGCACAGAGCTGCCATTCCATCTATCTTTTTCTTTTATCTTTGTAAGATCACAAGATCTGTTATGATCAATTTATTATCAAAGACAACAATTTGGGGCCTAAACAATGAAGATTTCAGTGTCTACTATGATGACAGACATTTTCACTGCCATAACGTGTTGATGGTTGAGACCACCTTTACTAGAATTTGATAGGAGACATCATGACGGGTGCCACATGTGGTGCAGGAGACGCTTACTCTTCCAGAGCAACCGGTCTCACCTCCGGGTTTTGATGGAGGTTCATGTTGTCTTTTCTTCTGTTTTTTGGTGTCTCATTGGTTCCTGTTTTTGTCCTCCTGTCCGGCCTTTTTTAATGCGGTGTTGTCATTCTGTTTTGACGCTGTGGTATGTACTGTTTTTATATTCTTTCTTAAGGAGCTTCTCAAATTTGAGGACGATTGTGAAACTGGGGCCAGGTGCATGTGCCGTATATATGCAAGAACAATTAAATAGCACAGTTTGTCAAAAAGATGTACAGGTAAATGTAAGACATGTACGTATATGCTTATATTTGCATGTAGTAGACAATTTTTGAACAAATTCTAAATTTCAAAATACTTTTCTGACACTTGTAGAATATCAGAATATGAAAATACAGAAAAAATGTAGTGTTAGCTAAACATGTAGTATAGTCAAACTAAACAAGCATCAAGTATTGTACAGGGCAATCCATTGTCTCCCACCAGTACTCGTTGAATAGAAATAAGGGTATGTTGTAATTTTGTGCAAAGTTTGAGATTGCTGCATGAAATAGTGTGGAAGAAATGGCCCGGATAGGCGAAAGCATACAAAAGCTAAGACTTGACCCCGTGACCTTGACCTCGGACCCACGACCCCAATTTTTTACGCGACACTCCGCCTTGCCAAGTTGTACCTTTGTGCCAAGTTTGAGGTTGCTGCGTGAAATAGTGTGGAAGAAATGGCCCGGACAGGCGAAAGCATACAAAAACTAAGACTTGACCCCATGACCTTGACCTTGGCCCCACGACCCCGATTTTTTTACGCGACACTCCGCCTTGCCAAGTTACCTTTGTGCCAAGTTTGAGGTTGCTGCGTGAAATAGTGTGGAAGAAATGGCCCGGACAAGATCTGAGTGGACGGACGGACGGACGGACGGACGGAATGACGAGGCGCAAACCTATAGTCCCCTCCGGAACCTTCGGTTCCCGGTGGGGGACTAATTAACAGGATATTGAATGATTGCAGTGTTTTTTTCTCTATATGTTTCAAGTCGATATTCGCCCTCATTTAAAATCTCGTCCTAATCATTACGATTTTTGTTAAATACAGAAAAGAATGACTGGCATGTGTGAAAATCATATTAAACAGAGATGATTTACAGTCGTGTATCAGGTTAACCAACATACAAACCACAGGTACATTGCTACATTCAACATGATTACAAACGTGTTGATTGTTTCAATGATAGAGAAAATGTATACAAACATTATATGTTGGTTTCATTTATTTTAATGCATTTACTCGCAATTCCCCTACTCGCAACTCGCAATTCTCTGTTTCAAAAATGCAATTTATTACAACATATTCAGCGATGGACATTGTACATTTTGTACATCCTATAACACAAATGATAGTCTTACAGTCTTGTTATGACAAAATGAAAAGATGAAAAGAAAGGAAGCAACATTAATACTTAATTTCAAGATTGAACCACTACGATTTTATGAAATTAATTTCCAGAAGTTAATTTGCAATTACGAAGATATCTAAGAATTTAGATTACAAAAATATTTAATTTGTCAATAATAATCGTGTAAATATACATGCAGTATTATAGAAGGTATATTATTATTTGATGTAATACAAATTTATATCGTAAAGTTGGTCAAAATAGCCGATATCGTCAGACATATTTAACAGGATCCGAAAAATATGATTTGATTTCATTGTATTGTCTCTGTTTATTTCCTGTAATTTGCGACCATCCGTGTTAAAAACGCTTCAGTTTCGGGTGAGATATCAATTTTTGTATCACACCCATTTCAGTCGACGGAAAAAAACGATGGCGGACATTTTAATCTGCGAAACGAAAAAGCATGCACTTTCGTGCTGGATGAATACTATTTACGTCGACCTGATTGTAATCACTTATAAATGAAAATATAAGTGTTTTTTTTAGGTCAGCAGTGTGTCCTTAACGACATTTTCGTCTCCTAACATTGAAAAAACAATGTTTTAATTTGTCTGATTTAACATGGTGACAGATACAGGCGATCCATGCGCCGGGCTACCTTTGGCCATTTTTCTTTTCGACCGATAATTTACGGTTCACAAAATTCGGACACGCACTTTTCGTTAAAGCAATTAATATCTCGTTTATAATGCAAACATCTGAAAGATCAAAAGTTCATTCAAATTCTTACCTTGAAAACACTTCGTTATTTCTTCACTGGTTGCTTATAATTTACTTTCTTCACTGGCATGGCAGTCTAGATGTAAATTGTAGTCAGCAGTTGTACCGGTGCACTGTAATAAATAATAATGTGTCAGAAAATGGAGAGATATTTATTTAAAATCATAATATATGTACAAAATAATGTATAATTTGTGACTCTTTAATTTGACCAGGGACATCCATGTATACACGTTTTTATCAAACTTGTATACAACCGGTAACAAAACGTCATAGAAAAACGTTGTGACGTTCGTTTATCTATAACCTTATGACTTTAAAAAAAAATTGAAATGGACGTGTATACAACGTTTATAACACGTTGAAAAATAACGTTTTCTTAAACGTTTTAAACACATTTTAGTAAAACGTTCTAGGTATACGTGTACACAACGTTTATAAAACGTTTAGAAATAACGTTTTCTTAAAACCTTTCTATAACGTTGTAGCAACGTATTTGTTCAACGTTTTTAACACGTTTAAGTAAAACGTCCATGTAAACGTTGTAACAACGTTGTCACAACGTTAGTTTATACACAACATTTTTTTGTTTTTTTCTTCATTTTGGAAATTTGAAATTGACGTTTAGAAAAAACGTTTTCTTAAAAACCTGTATACAACGTGGTAACAACGTATTTTTCGAACGTTTATAACACGTTTTAGTGAAACGTTCATGTTATACGTTGTAACAACGTTGTCACAACGTTATGTTTTACATAACTTTGTGACAACATTCCAACAACGTTGTGAAAACGTTGCGTGTTTGCTGGGTAACTTACCAATTAAGTTTCAGATTATTTATTTTTTTAAGAGTATTTTAGATTTTTAATCAACATATCATATGCTTTTATGAACAAAGTAATTACGAAAGATGGAAGATTTACCAGTTATATTTAACTTTCTACTACGTGTCCTATTCTAAATGTCTTTACCTTGACAGATATGTCCCTTTCACCAATAAATTACATAGCCAGGGTTTCCAACACTGAAAGATACGTTAAAGGAATGTCATGAACATTGTCATAACGATGGAAATACATCATTTCGTAAAAGATCATGAAAGACATAAACTAAAGAAGGTGTTCAGAATGAGAAAGCGTTCTCTACACCACATGTGAATCCCTTTTTGGTTACACATCAAAGATTTAAAACCCAAATGAACTAGCCTTGTTCATGGAAGATTTTGAAATATTATATCTGGATTTAGTGTCCTGATACAGACAACAAAATGTCACCAGCGTAGATAACCCACACAATAATTGGTCGGAAACCTCATCTTAGTCATTAATTAGTCAACATGTCACATATATATACAGACAATATTCTAACAATGTTGAATGTACATGTATCTGACGTCCTTATCAATCATAGCGTATAACACGATACATCGTTACAAACCTTTCATATTTTCCAATAACCAACGTTTTTTTCTGTATAAAATATCAAAATTAAAAACAAATTGCAATGAACTAACTACTATCACAACAAGTTAAAAATTCTCACCCAAGTTACTACTAACTTTACTTTATATTCACATCTCATTCCCGGCTATTTAAAAAATGTTCTAGGCCTTTCTGGAGCAAAGTGATGTTCTATGAAGACATTCATTTCAATGCGGAAAGTTAATGAATTTTGACTTTGTTAGCTGGAATAAAGTGTTTTCAGTTACAGTACACATACAGTTGTTTTTAGTTTTAAGAGTTGTTATATAGGTGTATTGTGGGGCATTATTGGCACTGATAAAACATGTCAATCAGGAATGTTTTTACAACAGAAATAACGTTAAGAAATATATAATTTGCTCTTCGTTTATGGCATTCCCCTCTAAACTATATGGTAACGATACTATCAATTGATAAGCATATGAGATGTTCCGAATGAATAGAACGGCAAATGAAAGATCACCCGTATCTGCAGCAGGGGGTCGGCATGTACTTGTTAAATAAATAAGAGAAATCTTAAATTTGGTATCTGCGTGATGAAAAGTTCAGAACAAAATAGTATAAGCATTGTCCATTTCTCTCTGATTTACCAAAACAGTACAAATTCAGGTCTAAAAGATGCATGCAGTTGTAGGCTATGATCACTTATTAAAATCCTAGAATCAATTTGCAACTTTTATTCTGCACAGCAAATACCAAACGATATTGATGCCTAAATGCATTTTCTATGAAAAAATAAAAACTATTTTTTTTTATCAAAATTACAAAATAAATGTAGAACATGTATTGTCGGAACATGATATGTGTGACTATAATGCGTGAAATAAAGCAGACCATTGGATGATGATGACCGGTGTCCTATTTCCCTAAAAGAACCTAGCAAGTCTGTTTTGTATCACTGTTGTACTCAGGTATACAGCTGATTGCCCCTAATAGCAGCTCAAATACAAGTAGTTTATCACAGCCGAC